TTCCACTTTATTTTCACTTTCTGGCCCACGTGTGATAACGTCCTATGCCATTTTAGACCTAAGGGAGCACTGTTTTCAAAACAGAAAGCAACCAGTTTATTTCTGGTTTTTAAAAAGACCTTTCCTGGGCATAAAAAGGCCTGGGGGGGGGGGGAACATGGCAAAATGCCTCCATACCCCCAGAGAGCATTTTTTTACTGCAGGCCACAAAACCGCCATGGGGGCCAACGCAAACCATGGGTCACAATTTGCCCATCCCTGTTCTAACGGAAATCAAAACTGGGCATGATCTTCTCAACATTCAAAGTACAATCACGTATTCATGGATTTCTTATCCACAGATCCAACCATCCATGGCTTGAAAATATTTTAAAAATATATAAATTCCAAAAAATCAAACTTTGATTTTGCTATTTTATATAAGGGATGCCATTTTACGACACCATTGTATTTAATGGGACTTGAGCATCCACAGATTTCGGTATCCACAGGGGGCCCTGGAACCAAGGCCTAGCAGATACTAAGGAGCCAATGTAGAGGGGAGGTATTAGCATCACTGTTTAGTAAAACAACACAACAATTTGTGATCGTGTAATAATAAATTATTCACAACAAGTACCACTATATTGTTGTTCTGTACCTTCAAGCCGTTTCCAACCTATCACAGTTTTCTCTTGGCAAGATTTCGTCAGCCATTGGCTTGCCATTGCTTTTCTCAGAGGCTGAGAGAGTGTGACTTGCCCACAGTGGGTTCCCATGGCTGAGCAGAGATTCAAACCCAGGTCTTCAGAGTCATAGTCCAACACTCAAACTGCTATGCCACTCTGCTGTAACCTCGCTACTTATATTCCAGATTAATGTATGCTAAAGTAAATCTTACTGAAAATTTGGTTTTTACACATCATATTGATGTGTTTCTGTTTATAACACAGTTTATAAGTAACATACTATAACTTGTGATAATTTTTTTTTTTTGGACCAAAAGGAGCAACAGTACTATTCTGGAAACTAATCTAACTTTTATTTATATCATTGGATTTGGGGAGTAATTAGTGAACCATTATGTGGAGAAAAGATATTTGTACCTTTGTGCTCATTTAAAAAACCTTATAGTGTTGTTTAAAACAAGTAAAAAGTAATGTGCTAGTGTTACAAATATATTACAGTATTTGGTACTCATTAGCAGTAAAAATAATTTTTAAAATAATATTAAAAATATTTTAACAAATAATATTAACTTTTGCAATAAAACACTGCTCTTGATGTCAAAACATCTTAAGATTGGGCTGTAGTTGTGTTTATTTTCAAACAATGTAATTTTTTTTATCAATGGGCCTTTACAGACTGCCAGAAATAGTGCAGCTTGAGGCCACTTTAACTGTCCTGGCTCAGTGCTAGGGAATCATGGGAATTGTATTTTTTTTCTGAGACATTGAGCCTTGTCTGTCAGAGAGCTCTGGTGCCACAATAAACTACAGTTCCCATGATTCCTTAGCACTGAGCCAGGACAGTTAAAGTTGCCTCAAGTTGCACTATTTCTGGTAGTCTGTAAAGGCCCAATATGAGCTTTTTCCAAGTCAGGGTAGTTAAGATTTGAGTGTTATTATCATTACAAAATAACTGAGTTGCTAAAAATGGTAACAAGGATTACATTGTTTGCATTTTTAATTTGTTATGGAAGTCCCAGGAGAAAGGAGGCATATAAAGTTAATAAAATTTAAAAAACACACAAGTAAATCACATGTGAGATTCAACATGATTCCCCACTTTCCATATCTTTCTGTTCTGAAGTAGCTCAACAGTGCCCCCTAGAGTATCTACTACTTTTGACACCGCAATAGTTCGAATGCATCTATCCCTTTGAATATAAAACATGAATTTAGGACCTTTACAGACTGCCAGAAATAATGCAGATTGAGGTCACTTTAACTATCCTGGCTCAGTGCTAGGGAATCATGGGAATTGTATTTTTTTCTGGGACATTGAGCCTTCTCTGTCAGAGAGCTCTAGTGCCACAATAAACTACAGATCCCATGATTGCTTAGCACTGAACCAGGGCAGTTAAAGTGGCCTCAAGCTACATTATTTCTGAATAATTGCTCTGGTTTCAACCAGCTGGCTAATTTGCTGGTAAAGAAGATGAGTTCAGCCACTAAGTAGCTGTCTGATTTTCTGGTTAGACTACTGACATCAGGCAAAAGAAATAAATAAAAACAACATTGTGGTAGGATCAGTAGATACAGAGATCTTGCAGCACCATTGAGACTATGGTAAATAAAGAAAGAAGTTGGCAGCATGAGGTTTCGTAGACTTAAGTCTACTTCCTCAGATACATTTGGTCCACTGTGGTAGGAGTTTACTACAGATCACCAAACCAAAACTCAGGTGAAGAATCACGCATTTGCAAAGCTTCTTGTAAGACTTTCATAAGGAACTTGCTAAATTCTATGTTTCTGTGCTTTGGGTAAGAAATCCAAAGTGCCTATCTTTTTAATATTTCCCTAGGCAAGAGTCCTTGACAATATTCAAAAATTCTCAAAAAATACTCAAAAATTCTCCAAGCCTCTAGAATTAGGATGTGTCAGAAAGTTCATAAAAGTTAGTAATTTGGGGGCAAACCCTTGTAAGGAAGAGATCCACCTGATGGAGAGTAATTCACAGGAGAGTAACCCACAGTCAGACAGGCTTCAAATCTTACTGGAGCAAAGGCAGTAGCAGGGGATTAAATTCAATGCCATTCTCCTGATCTAAATCACACATACACACCTGCTCCACATGAAGCTGCTGATAGGAATTTTGGAAATATCTTTAGATCAGAAACAATGGTTCCCAACCTGACTTCTTACACATATCTTCCAGCAAGCCAATGACTGAGGGTGATGGGAGCTGTAGTGCAAGATATTTAGAGGATTACAAATTAGAGAAAGCTGATCAGAGTAATGCCACAACTGAAAAGGGTCAAATACAAACACACACACACACACACACACACACACACACACACACACACACTGCTAGTATCACATCTAAGCTTCCCCAAACTCCTTTAAAAGCACCCTCCCTCAAAAAAAAAAAAAAAAACCAAAACCCTGAAATTTTGGGACATCTGATCATAGATCTCCCCTGACACAACTTTTTTGGTCTTCACGGAGAATTATGTTAACATGGAGTAGTATATGTAGGAGAGCTATTTTTTAAAGCAAACATCTTCTACCTGACCTCGGTTTATATCTCAAATCAACTGAGCTGCAAAGAAAGAACTGCAAATTAGGAACTCATTTCAAATGTCACTGCTGCTATGAAATTCAGCAAGTGGCCTCTTGCTTGGCCTCAGGCTACACACAGATACACCCTAAATTGCACTGGGCCTAGGAAAAGTTACTTTTTTGGACTACAGTTTCCAGAATGCTGGGGTATTCTGGAAATTGTAGCCCAAGAAAATAACTTTGGCTGGTTCTAAAAGGGGGGTTATTATTATGTTATTGTATAATATAATTATCATATCATTATATAATATTATTTATATTATAATGTATAAATTATAATATAATTGAGAGCCAGAGTTGTGTCACGTGTCGACTATGACTGAAGACTAGGGTTTGATGCCCAGTTTGGCCATGAAACCAACTGGGTGATCTTGGGCATATCACACTCTCTCAGCCTCAAAAGATGGCAAGGGCAAACCTCATCTGAACACATCTTGCCAGGAAAACCCCATGATAAATTTGCCTTAGGATTGCCATAAATCAGAAATGACTTAAAGGCATACAAACAACAACAACAACAACAACAAACATAAATTGCAGTCGCCCCTCCATTTTCGCAGACTTGGTGTCCGCATGCCTTGCCCGTTTGTAGGCAGAAAATGGAGGAGAACAAAATGAGGCGCCTCCCATGGTGCATGCCCACCGGCGTGCACCTCCATTCAAGCCTATACCCCGCAAAACAGAGGGGTGACTGTATATAATATATTCTTATATTATTACATGATTATCATAGAATAAATTACAGGAAACATTCTGAATTCTGTGTTTAAAAACAGATTCTGTATTAGACTGTACTAGGGCTTTATCACATGAGGGAAATCCCATGCAGACACAAGATTTAAAAGGTGGAGGAAACCCACGAAAGTGGGTAGATTTTCACATACATCACTTTTAAAGTGTTCTTAACCTGAACGGAAAGTAGTCAAAAGCAGCCCTGGTGGCGCAGTGGTTAAATGCCTGTACTGCAGCCACTCACTCATAGACCACAAGGTTGCGAGTTCAATACCAGCCAGGGCTGAGGCTCGACTCTAGCCTGCATCCTTCCGAGGTCGCTAAAATGAGTACCCAGATTGTTGGGGGGCAATCAGCTCACAGTTGTAAACCGCTTAGACATCCCATGCGCGATATGAAGTGGTATATAAATGAAGCTGCTTTGCTTTGCTTTACTTTCCAAAAGTAAAAAGAAGCGGCTTTTAACTACTTTCTGTTCAGGTTAAGCACACTTTAAAAGCAACATCATCTGAAAATCTACTCACTTTAGTGGGTTTTCCCACCTTTTAAATCCCATTTCTGCACGGGATTTCCCCCTGTGTAATAAAGTCCATGTACTACTGTTGTAAAGAATAATACCATGAAAAAAGTTAACCATTTATCTCCTTCCTTTGTGTTACTTCACCTGTCAGACTGCTTGTGTCAGAAAACTGAAATGAATCTTTAGCCATTTTATGAAGGGAACCATCTTAGGGGAAAATCCCATCTAGTCATAGAAAAAGCTAAACCTTCATAACATGAGAGAACAGCTCTAGTACCAAGGCCAGTTCTAATCATTTTGAATAACCCCACAACATGTACATCGTGGGTTCATTCCTTTTGTTAGTATCAGCCAAAGCAAATTCACTGAATCAACTGCTTACACAATAAGTCAACACATACTGTAAATTCCACTGGTTCAATGGGTCTGCTCTAGTTGGGACTGCCCAACAGAGAGAGATTAACCCAAGATCACCCAGTGACCTCGATGTGGATTTGAACCTGGATTTCCCAGGCATGCTAACCACTACACCACATTAAATATAGAAATTTGTCATCATCATTATTATTATTATTATTATTATTATTATTATTTATTAAAACACACATAACACATATACAACTTACATATACAAATATAGAACTTTGTCTTTTGAAGACACTGCAAGAGTCAATGAATAACCGTAGAGGGTATTATATCTAAGGATAGTATATCTAGGAGATGCAGCAACTCCACTGACTTGATCATTTGTAAATACTCCCATAACTTTGCTTTTTGTACTTTAAATTGCATTTTAACCTATTTATTTTATTGACTTTGGGCCTGTACAGACTTCCAGAAATAATCCAGTTTGAGGCCACTTTAACTGCCTTGGCTCAGTGCTAGGGAATCCTGGAAACTGTAGTTTATTGTGGCACCAGAGCTCTCTGACAGAAAAGGCTCAATGCCTCAGAAAAAAATACAGTTCCCATGATTCCCTAGCATTGAGCCAGGACAGTTGAAGTGGCCTCAAACTGGATTATTTCTGGCAGTCTGTACAGGTCCTTTGACTTTCTATTCAAAGATTCATTGTAACTTTGCTTCCTTCCTGATGGGAGATTCACAAAGCATTGGATTGTTTTGAGTAGGGGGTTGCAGACTGCCAGAAATAGTGCAAATTGAATCCACTTTAAGGGTTAGGGTTAGTGCTAGGGAATCATGGGAATTGTTTTTGTTCTGAGACATTGAGCCTTCTCTGTCAGAGAGCTCTGATGCCACAATAAACTACAGTTCCCATGATTCCCTAACCCTAGCCCTAAAAGTGGAGTCAAT